GAAGTGCAATTATATGGTAAAATTATTGCTATTGAATCAGAATGTTGTGCAAGTTGTCTATTCACCACTTGCAGGGGTTCCTCTTATTTAAATTTATTGCAATAAAATTGAATTAAGTTCCAGTTTTTTTGGATTGCAAGTTGCCTACCTTCCTCACACACAGTACTCATTTTTTTGATCGTTTAAAATCGGCATTCATTGATCAGATGGTGTACAAATATTGCAATTTATTTCATTAAATTACAAAATCATTTCGAAATTTGCGTAGCACTGTGCTACTTAGGAACATAATGATCCGATTTTAACACCTTTTTGTATGGAGTCAATAAAAATATCTTCCACCTTTCATGCACTGAACCTTCAATATTTAATGGCAAAAAAGTATTTTCAACTGCTTTTCCCCGTTTTTGCGGTAGAAAATATGAAATGAACGGAAATTTTGAAACATAAAATTGGAGACACTCGCGTTGTTACCTGGCCTACACGCGAAAGCGAAGTAGCTACTTCTCTCGCCACGTTTTTAATCCTTTTAATTGTACTTGAGATTGCGCATTTAATTTTTCTTCGCATTTTACGAGGCCGGATTAAAAACTCGCTAAGATTTTACTCATAATTCCATCACACCTCTCGCCGCCACGATAAGGTCAACGCTCCGAGCTAAATGCAACAGAACACGCCTCGTCTCGTCTCGACTCGACTTGTCGTTTGTCAGTTGATTTCGATCACTATATCATTCGCCCACCATCTCTCATTTTTTCGTCAAATCTTTAAATATAATTACGCTTAATTGTCTAACCATACCCAACGCGAAAAAAAGAAAAAAGAAAACTGGCATATTTCTATCGGGCGATGGGTAGAATGCAGTCTGCATGGTTGCGGGAGACAAGTTTTCGTCTCGAAATAAAACAGCTCCTTGGCGGAAATTTTTGAGGGCTCATTATTTTCATTTCCCATCAAGTAAAAATGCCAGATATTTACGACCCATGCGAAAAATTTACGACCGAGAAAGGGCAATTCGGTCGGAGTAAAAGTACCAAGAATACTCATTGATGTAGTATGGAAAATACGCGAAAATTCACGATTAAACTCATCCTAAGGTATCTAAATTATGAATACCTGCGTCATTAGTGGCTTTTGATAACGGTTTTAAGTATCGTACTTATTACTAAAAATGTCGGTCTATTTGATCGAGCGCGCAAACGCCCAACATTTGTAGTTTCTTCTTCCACACAAAAAAAGCTCCGACAGAGAGCTTTCAGAGCCTAGAATTACTCTTCTCGGGACAAAAGATGGAACAGTCTGGCTCTGGTTACCCGTCAGAGCAGTAAAGCTCTCATCAAATCCTTTAAGCATAACTTCTGTTGCGCTAGGTAAAAACGTCATAAGAGCATTTAAACATTGCCAAATTTCCGCTCAGAAAATATTTATTTTTGAAGAATTTTATAAATATATTTCCTTGAAAATTTCAGGATTTTTAGATCAAATCACAAACTAAATCCTCTGAAAAATCGGCTAAAAAAATCCATACATTTTTTCGAAAATTCGTGATTTGTCGAGGGGAATTTGGCAACACCTATTGGCTCGTATGGCGTTCTTCCTTATCATGGCAATATTACAGCAGGTGACAAAAACTACCTGAATCCACCCAATGATCATTTACCCGGGACTCATTTTTCTTCCGGGCTCATCCACACTCTCATAATGTGAAAGCACAGGTACAGCAGTATGCTCCCATTTTCCGGAACAAGTACCGAATTTCGAAACTTTCGATATTTTCCTGAATTTTTCCCGGAACTTTTGAAACTCCCGGAAAGTTCCGGATCTTTCGCATTTTCCGGAACTTTCTCGGAACTTTTGAAAAAATCTAAAAAGAATCCCGGAACTTTTGACGGTCATGGAGTGGGAGCACTGGCACAGTAATCACTAATGACTAAAATGTAACATAATTTTTACCGTCTCCTGAACGAATAGTATTGGCCTAGTTGTAGGTGAAGCAAACATTTTTAAACTACGAGAGGGCGGCTAGGCGGAGGGGAATATGTGAATGACCCTTGCCACGCTCGGGTCCCCAGGCAGGAAAACAGGAAACAGTGGTGTAGTAACTCCAGCAATCAAACGTATTTACACGACGCGACGGGTGACTGAGCATCACAATGGGACGTACTTCTGCCAAACGGAACTATGTGCATTAAGATACAAGCCCTGAGACCCATAAGAAACTATGCATAACAGGGCTCACGTGATAATGCACATAGTTCCGTTTGGCGGAAATACATCCAATGGGAACAAGGGGAACAAGAGGAGGGGCCCATGTTGAATATCTTATGTAGATATTTTCATCGATACTCGCTGCCGCAGTAAACACTGTGTTTGAGTGTACCATGAGCGGCACTCGTAAAAATTAAAAAACGCAGTTGTGTGTCGAGACTGTAAGATGAATCTAGGGCGAGAGTGAGCTAACATCGAGATACTGGGCCAATTTTGCTGAAATGCTGAATGTTTAAATTTGTCGAATTCAGCAAAATTTTCTCGAAATCTTGATGTTTGTTTACTTTCGGTGTAGATTTACCTGATTTTTTACCCTTTCTAAAGGTCCATTACAGACTAGGGCGTAGGGGAGAAAGGGACATAGAGGAGGGAGTCTAAGCCTCTGGCCACTCTTCCATGAGCGAAATTTTTTCCAAAAGAAACTGTCGCTTTTCGTAAATCTTAGGAATTATTATTTCAAAGAAAAAATTGCGTTTAAAGTGCGTAAAAAATTGTACGAAAATTATGGGGGAAAATATTCACAATTTTACCAGCAAATTCATTTTTTATCGAAGGAAACTTGGCAACGTCTGGAGGCTCATACGAAGTTCTTCCTATAAAGCACGGCAGAGTGGTAATACACTTAATTTTCAATGTTTCTGCATTAAAGTCTCCATAGGCGGATCCAGCAATTTGGCAACACCGGATTTCCTCCATTTAAACCTATGTTGAATAGTCGATTCTTGTCGGAGCACCTGGCCCCTCCAAGAATCGATAAAATTCCAAAGGTTTAAATGGGGAAGAAACAATGTTGCCAATTTGCTGGATCCGACAACGAGAATATCTCGGACGGGGTGACTCACCAGGATGTGCGATGGTCTTGACGATGGCTCCGACGCAGGCGAGAGCGATGTTCATGAGGAGGGGTTCGAGGACCCCCTTGATGAGCGGGGAGACGATGTGCCCGATGGCGGAGAGGAGGTTGAGCTGGACGATGGGGATGTACGGGAGGTGGTCGGCGGCCCCCTTGACCCCCTCCGCGTCCTCGAAGGGGGACACCGATCGGGTCGTGTTGACGTTGACGTTGGCGGCGACGTTGGCGGCGACGGCCGGGAGGGCGGCGGCCACCGTGTCCACGGTCGAGGTCACGGCGTTGGTGACCGCGGCCACTTGACGACCTTTGACCTCCGCGCTGTCTATCCGGGGCAGGCAGTGCACGCCGCTCAGCCCGAACATGACGATCAACAGGGCTCCGTGCTTCATCTGCAATCAGGGACAGGGATTAGTTGTTTGGGTGTGCGCTTGATTGGGCTCGCTTCCTCATTGACGACACAATTGAGGCTTTTTCTCCCGTGCTAAGGAAAAACGCCGTATGAACCTTCAGGCGTTGCCAAATTTCCTCTGATAAAACACGGATTTCCTGGTAAACTTATGAATATTTTTCTTCCACTTTTTCAGATAATTTTGTTCGCAATTTCGGCTGAAGTCCCTGAAAATTTCAAGGAAAAATATCCATAACTTTCCTCGAAAATAAACTTTTTATCGAAAGAAATTTGGCAACTCCCGAATGTTCATACGGCGTTCTTCCTTAGCACGGCAGTTTTATGCAACGAGGGCGCCTGCCATGCAAGATTGTGCAAATTGACGGTGTAAGTCCGCAATCACATATCTCGTTTGCGGTGTCTGAAAATCTCCGCCTCTATGTTGGCTTTTTTGAAGGAGAACAAATTGGCATAATTCCTTGAAGTTTGAAGGGTTGCACAGATAATATGACAAATATGAAAGATTGGAAATTTCAGGGGAATATTTCATGAAATTTCACAAAGCAGCTGTGAAAAAAAGGAAAAATATTCTCAGGGGCCGGATATGCATCGCGCACTGAAAAACTACCTTTTTGTATGGAACATATCGACGGCGTCAGTCGGCAATCACATATCTCGTTTGCGGTGTCTGAAAATCTCCGCCTCTGTGTTAGCTTTTTTGAAGGAGAACACATTGACATCATTCCTTGAAGTTTATGCAGAATTTTCTTCGCAGAGAGGAAAAATCACGGCAGTTTTAAAGAATGGCCGTTGAGTAGTTTTCCGTTTAAAAAATAAAGTATGACAGGAGGTCTGCGACGTCGCAAGCCGAGTTATGTGATTGCCGCCTTACGCCGTCGAAATATAGAAAATTGAGTAAAAATTCAAAAATACGAGAAAAAAATCAAAACCATCAGAAAATCGAGGAAAAAACTCTAAGTATAATACAGGGGGAAAACATGCAACAAAAAAATTACTACTTTTGAGTGGTCACCCATAAATCAACGCAGGATTGCAACAAAGTCTCACAATCACGACTATGCGTTTTACGGCAGGGACCCCTTACTGCACTAAATGCCTCAATTACTCAGTTCGTTAGATATTTACTGAGTATCCCCGGTTCAAGGTTGCTCGGTAAGCGAAAAAATTTGGGTATTTTGCATGGGTTCACGTAGGGAAAAATGCTGATTTTTAGCACTATCTGACAACAATGATCCGGTTTAAACGACAGGACTGCAAGAGCGTGCTCTTAGGTGCACGGTGGAGCGAATCATTCGGTGAGGTTGGACATGATGTAGAAACTTTAAAAGCTGACATTTTTTGCAATATAAAACACACCTGTTCCATTGGTTTTTTCGTAAAATTTTCTTTCATGTCCCACCCTTAAAACTGAAAATTTGACGATTTGAACCTAAAAAATATGCAGTCATAGTGAAAAATATCACGCCCGATCCCTCTCATAGTTCCACTAGAGAGTGGCAGGAGATTTGCAACGAAATCCTGAGAATCAAGAGGATACTGCTCGATATTTCTGCATGAAATTTTCAGGAAGTATTATTCAAAGAGTGAAGTAAATGAAACGAAATTTTCTGCAAAAACGCTGATATACATGGCCTTCCCTGAAAAACTACTCTATGACAAAGATTTGCAACGTCGCAAACTGAGACACTTGGCACGGTACTTTCACCGTCGATATTCCATTTGTTAAAGGCAAAGCAAGTTAGGTTGCACCTCGTTTTAATAATAAAATGATGAGAATTTTTCATCATTCTTCTCTGATGGTAAATACATGCAGAAAATATATATATCTGACCGTAGGACACGGACAAACTGTGAAAAAACGCCGTCTTACATTTGGACGTTGCCAAATTTTCTTTGATGAAATACGAACTTTTAGGGAAGCTTATAGAGGTTTTTCTTTCAACTTTTCAGGTGATGTTATTCGCATACCTATAATAAATATTCTCCAAACGAAATACATTATCGAGAGAAATTGTCAACATTCGAATGTTTATACGACGTTTTTCCGCTTCAGGGCTGAATTCAAAATCTGACACAGTCATTGCCATTTCAAAGTTTAGGAGGAAAAATGGCACAAGTTGAATAATGTTCCTTAAACCGAAAATACATAAGATTGAAAGTTACTTTGAGATGTTGCAAATCCTCTATCACTCCGTATTCTCCAAGAGAGCGACTGATAAACGTACAGTTTCTTGTAAATTGTCAAGATATTTTTAGCTGAGGGTGGAGAGAATGTTTCTTGAAAATGTAAATTGATGATGTTCTTATTAATTTCATAAATATATAAAGAAGGAGTGATAATTTTAGGACGCTGTAAGCACGTGATGGTTTTTCTTCGGTTCGAGCCAATGGTGGATGTTCATTGATGTTCGTTTTTCAAACTACGTCACAAAATTTGCTGGAGTTTTTTTTTTTTTTTTTTTTTTTTTTTTTTTTTTTTTTTTTTGAGAGAGAATTCTTTCATTCTTGAATAATTCAATTTAATTCAATTTTAAAATGCTCCAAGAAATAGAGCTAGGAGGTAAAGGTGTTTTAAAAGACAGTAAAAGTGAAGATGGGACGATAAAAGGTGCAAAAAGGAAATAAAATAAAGAATGAAAAAACGAAAAAGATTTACCTTCGAAAAACGTCAGTAAACACCAGCACAAAATCTATCGAATTAAACAACTGAATGGGAACTAGAATGCGGGGCGAAATATTGTGAAGCCGGTGCCCAAAATAATGCCGTTATATATCTCGTTCGGATCAATTATCTTAATGTTCATCAACCACCATGGAACCTTCCACTCGATGTGGTGCAATTATTGAGGCAGGTGGTTGATCTACTTTTGTAGAAAGTCTGCACATCCGTTGTTTCTGCTATCCGTGGGTTTTTTGGGGAGAAAGGTGAGCCCCGGGCCAAAAGTGCAGGTGCAGTCACCGGCACCCGAAAAAAATTAAGATAGTATGGAAAAAATTTATCGCCTTTGATTGATCAAATTTTCTTGGTTAGATAGAAAGATTGAAAATCGTATTTTCATTCATTACCACACTGCTATTTTCATGCAATTTTTAACAGTCTCGATCTCATCGGTGGATCCAGCGAATGGGCAACATTGTTTTTTTCCATTTAAACCCATGGAAATGTCTCGATCCTTGGAAGGGTCAGATGCTCCGACAAGAATCGATTAGATATTTAGCATAGGTTAAATTGAGGGAATTCAGTGTTGCCAAGTTGCTGGAAACGCCTTTGCTCGATCTCCTAGGTGACATCATTACCTACTCAATTCCCATCAACCGGACATCAATACATTTTTGTGTCAAATGTAGGGCGTAAAGAATAAAATTTCAGAGAGGAAATGTGTGTACCTAAAGAGTAATGCCTGATGACGCAAACGCAAGAATACGTATCTCGGTTTGTGGCGTTGAAGATTTCCTGTCATATTCAATATTTCACATCGAAAACTGCGAAACGTCATTTTCATATACTTCTCAGAATTTTCCTCTCCACGTGATAAATAATCCGTGAAAATTTCAAGCCATAATGTTCGTTTGATTTCCTTGTAAAAAACTAAATAGGAGCGAATTTTGAAAAACCGCAACCTAGGTGCGCGTTTTTGCAGTTTCGCCGTCGATACGTAACCCAGCACGTTCAAATGGACGTATTTCTGCCAAACAGAACTATGTGCATTAAGACATTAGCCTTAAGACCCATAAGAATACATGCATAATAGGGCTCACGTCATAATGCACATAAACGGCAGAAATACGTCCAAATGTGTCTGAAGGTGGGGAGGGGAAACTACACCACAGCTTAATTCTGCGGAGGATAATTCTGCATTATTTGCGTAGAGACTAGAGAGGGTCGAAACTTGCAAAAAAAAAAAATAGTTCTTTGGGAGTAATGCAAAATTCGAAGACGAAAAACGGTGAAAACCGCTGTTACATTCCGTCGGCCGCTGTTGCCAGTCCTAGGAAGGATTCACTTCAAACGCCTAGGAAATCACGAAAAATGTACATTATGGCTTGAAATGTTGACCCTATGCCAGTGAAAGTACTGGCATCGAAAGCTAAAACTCGAAATTGTTGGTTTCGCACGCCTTTTTTTGCTGTACTGGATAAAATGAGCTCCTACCTCAATAGGGCTTTTTTTTTATGCGGATCGCAGTGGATCGCGGTGGATCGCGGTGAACATCGGTATTTTTTTATTCCGTTCCTCAGCGTGATCCAAGCGTTCCAGGTGGATCAGGGTGGAACGCTGGATCGCTCTTCCGAGGTGGGGCGAGCTCTGATCCACTGTGATCCTAACCTAATGCGAGGAAGTTGCCGTCCCCAAAGAATCAAAACAATAACAAATCGAACCAAATTCCAAGTTCGGATTTTTTTATCACTTGGAACACTTGGATCGGTCCGGATCGCTCAGGATTCCGATCCAGAGCGTTCCACTCCGATCCACCCTGATCCGCGATAAAAAAAAAGCCCTAATGCACATTTTTCCCTACTGCGAACGGCAAACCACGATCATCTGACATGATGGAAGAACCGTTTGAAGTATCCGATTTTGAGCAGATTGTGACTTAGTACACACGACACAGTTGGAAATGACTCCAAATAATGAAAATAAAGTCGCGAGAAAAATTAAATTCTAAAAAAAGAAAAAAATTTGTTTGAAATTTACATGGAGTTCAAAGGGAAACTTCTCTGAACTCGCGGTTGTGAAGTCTTAGTCGGAATGGTCTGTTGTTATTGGGGGGAGGGGGGAGGGTGTTCGTCAGTTACTCACATAACATCTCGGGCAGCATAAACAAGCTTTTGATATTGGAAGATTCTCAAATCGTGACTCAATGCAAACGACACAATCAGAAAAAAATGTAAACGAAAAGTGAAAAGTAAGTCAGATTTAAAGTAAGCGTTGACCCTGTGTATTCGTTGAATTGGTCGACGCTTTTACATAAAAATTTATTGTCTGATGATTTCTAGTGACCAGAAGAATTATTTCATATCAGGATTTACCAGAACGCGAACATGATTTGTGTTAACATCAACCGATTCAGTTTGGGAATACATTTGTTCGGAGACTTTAACGCTAGGGTAGAAAAAAAAGACAAACTAAAACTGGACCGCATTTTGCAATGAAGAAGGACTTCAAGTATTTCTGGCTCGTCCGTAAAAGCACCTATCTGCATAGAGAATGGGCAATATGTTGTTTCTAAAATGAGCCAAAAACATAGGTTCTGTAATGCAAAATGTAGCTCAACTGATCTCCGTAATGTGGTTGGGATTAACAGGGATAAATCGATGAATTTTCACTTGAAAATTGAAACATCTGAGTCACAGCATTTCCAGGCTCTGCTAATATTTTATTTTTCTCTCGTTCTCTCTCTCTCTTTCCCCCTTGTCTACTCCTCTCCTCGACCCCCTCCTCTAACCCCCCCCCCTCTCTCTCTAAAAATAAAAATTTGATGGAATTTTAAGCTGTAATTGATGCGCATCTGCATACCTGTAAAAACTACAAATGAACTGGCATTTTGCAAAAATGAATTATTAGTATTGGAATGTTACTAATATGGTATAACTTGTTCATCAAGGATGTCAGAACTGAAAACAAATCAATATACTTGAATGAAATTTTGAAGTCGATCTTTCAGTTGACATTTTGTTAACATTTCATGATTTCCCTAAAAACATAAGAGGATTTGAATGAACTTGGCAGCATGGGCATGCTAATAGTTTCCTCTCACAAATCAAATTTGAAACCGGATGGCTAAAATCGCAAAATAATTTACCTTCAACTGCGATTAAAGCATATACTTCCACTCATTTTTCAGTTTTTCCACGCGAACGACAGCATTGACAATTTTTCTTAAAAATTTTCGTGCATTTTTTCACTAATTCGAACACATTCACAGACAACTTTACGGAGATACTTAGATTGGTTTTCTTTTAAAAAGTAAAACACAATCAGAGATTTTGAAACGTTGTATTAGTCAAACCGAGTCATTTATAAAGGATTTACAAACTACATACAGTTCCTTTTGATTTAATGTATTTCACACAATTTCGTTAATACAAATGTATGCCTACTTCATATGAATTAATCGAAACAGCACCTTCCAGGTCAGTGATCACCAGGTGAAGGTAACATGTATATTCATTATTTCAAATTCATAGAGCGCAATAAATGCACGAAAACGGGTCAAATACTGTTTTGAATTTTCTACGCTTCATCACTCTGGATGCTGGAAGCCGGGCGCACAGTAACTTGAAGGCTTCTTTCACCTTTGCTCCCGAAATGCCGGTGGGGAACACACCCCACAACCATGCAACCAGGGCCGAGGTCGAACATTTTTCATCTCCTTTGCGATCAAAGGTTATCGGTACCATCAAGATAGTGCTGTTGTCGCCACTATCCATAGTTTTTGTATTTGCTCCTACCAATATTTTAAACTTGATTTGAATAACTGCAGTACTCTCTTGCTACACTGAAAAAACGATATAGTGCTGAGCACTATAACTAGCTGGACCCTAACTAGCTGGACCCTAATGTTGTAGGGCTCAGCACTTAGTACTGTCATACTACCGTGCTAAGGGAATAACGCCGTATGAATCTTCAGACGTTGCCAAGTTTCCTCCGATAAAAACCGAATTTACTGGGAAAATTGTGAACATAATTTTCCGAAATTTTCCGAAAATTGTGTGCGCAATTTAATCTAAAATATTTGAAAATGTCAAGGAAAAATATGCATGAATGTCGTCAATAATACATGTTTTATGAAGGGAAATTAGGCAACCCTCGAATGTTCATACGGCGTTCTTCCTTAGCACGGCAGCATACTAGCTGGCTCCATTTGATCTAAATAGTTAGCAGTGGCGCGGCGTGCTTTGCGATATATTGATTCATCGGCCATTTAAACCTATGGAAAAGGATCGATAAACAGGGTGTTCGCAGCGAACACCTTAATAATCGATTCTTTACCATGGGTTTAAATGACATAACAATCGGTACATCGCAATTCACGCCACGCCACTGATAGTTAGTGCGCGCGAAGCGCGTCCAGAACGGCCAGTAGCAGGGGCGGACTGGGGGCGGGGAGGCGATCCCCTCCTAACAATTTGCCGCGGATGTCCCGAAGGGGCCCCCGCGGCGAAAATTTTTCAGGTCATCGGTTTTTTTCCCGTAATGTTGTAATTTTTCTATCCTTCTCAGTCACGAAAAGGTCCCGAAATCCTTGAAAATTTGTCTCTGAGAAACACGAAAGGTGACCTAAAGCTTATGTGATGAGGGGGCCACCGAAGAATCCTGAGAATGGGTTATTTTGAAGTTCAAGTACTTTAGAATTTAACTCAGATAATGCTTAAAATTGAAAATAAAAAGTGTTAAATTTTCAAAATTTTCCGGGGAAGGGCCCCCTGACCTTCTTAGAGGGGCCCCCGAACGACAGGAGGGGCCCCCACATCTAGGTCGCCTCCTAACTTTTCGACTACCAGTCCGCCCCTGGTCAGTAGGATATATGGATTGCATTTTGGAAAAAGGAACCAAGAGCATTCCAATGTCGCTAAGATTGTGCAAATGTGTTTACCTTGCAAATATAAACTGATTATGTAAAAAAGTTTTATCTTTACTCTCAATATATTATAAATTCATACTTAAGATTACCTTTGTAAAAATTTTTGACATGATTTCAGTGATTTACTGCAAATGATGTAAGTTGCACAATCCTAGCAACATTGGAATGCTCTTGGTTCCTTTTTGCTAAATGCAATCCATATGTCTCGAAAAAAATTTAAAATGAAGATAT